TTACGAAAACCTAGAGGATACTATAAAAGTAAGTTTTATAATTACTCAATTATAATCAAGTAGGATCTGGAAAGCGGTCTGTTTTACCACATACAGTGAATATTTAAATGAGGCGGTTATGTAAGATAATTGTTGTTTATCTCCATCGGTAAAGAGATAATAAAAACGATTCAAAGGGCAAAAATGATAAAAACATGAGAGCAAGCTTCTAGCGCGTTATGCGCTTTTATATGTACAAGTTTCGGTTCAACCATCGATCAGTGCATTCTTACCTACAACCTAGGATGTGAAATGGTTCTCAGTTTGAATCAAAAGTTCCCAGATTACTACAAGAGTCCTATGTGTGTGTCAAAAGCTTGAAACGTGTTCTATAATAAAACGTTTTGTTGTTGTATCACAAATGCATGTTTCTTATGACTGGTTATAATGTCGTTTTTAATGCGACGTTGGACGCTACAGTTGGAAACGCAAAAACTGTGTTTATTCGCTCAATTATCCGGTTGATGGGATTTTGGAACGTTTTGTTGCTGTATCACAAATGCATGTTGCTTAGGACCGGGTATATTGCCAATTTTTATTGTGAAAGTTTGGAACGAAAAAACTATCTTTTTTTTCGAACGATCATCCGATTTAGGGGATATTTTTATGGCTCAATTACAATTGATGATATGTTCTGAATTGTGAAATATATATTACTCCAAGCAAATGGTTTAAATTGCATATTTAGCATAATTCGTGGCAAATCTGATATCGGGCATAAAGGTTCCTCGCCAGCAATACCATTGGGTCACAGACTCACAGTTCTACTTTTTCCGCTAGTCACCACGATAAGACAATGTTTCTTGTTGTTTACACGTTACTAGAATTAGCTTCCTTTCGAGCATTGTTCTATAGAAATCCTTTAACTGTTTCCCTTGTTTCATTATAATGGCGATCGATGAAAACAATGGCAAAGTATTTAACACTATTATTCACGAATAATGACTCGACCAAAAAGTACGACGGAGCGTCGTTCGCTCGCTTTCGAGGACCCTTAACCAGTAATCTAGTAGGTATTGTGATTACGCCGGCATGAATTGCGTCACATGATTACGTAATTTGTTTGAGCTATGTTTATTGGTTGATTAAAATCACGTGACTTTTAAAGTGGTTCAAAGTACCTGTCAGCAAGTGCTCTTGATGTTTGCTGGCTAGAGCCGCAAACAAAATGTAGATTAGAGGCATTTATATCATCCGCCAGCTATTCTGCATGCTTCATTATCTTTGAGCCCGAAATATTGTCTCAAAAACACAACGAATAGGGAAGGGGGTCTTGTTAAGTGACATTTATATTTTCTCAATAATTATGTAGATAACACACCACTGAATTCAAACGTTTTACGCATTTCAAAAACGTTTGTTGAGGTATGCATATATAGTCATAGTGTGGGTTTATAAATCAATTTTAGAATTTCAACTTAAGTCTCGAACGTTGAACTTGAAATGAAAGTTCCTGTAATGATGCTAAAGTAAATCATCAGGTATAAGGCTGCCCACACTCGTATTGCCAACTATTTGCAATAAACGCAAGACCCCTACTGAATTCATTCGCCTCAGGGTAAATCCGTTTGATCTAGGCCTATTTATTCAAATTCCCGCAAGCACGACTTTTCTCACCTATGTCATTTGTATAAATGATCTCAATATATACTATCCGCTAGATGGTGCTACAGAGAGGAGATCTAGCAATTTCAACAAATTGTCTGAGGTGATGATGATGATACTTTGATTCAAAGGTTAATTAAGTTTCTACCGCGCCCGTAATATCTAGCAGCCACATGTCACTAAAATACTAATGAGATAAATGATTAACTTCCGCGTAGGAACAATATTTGTTCATTTCTCCACATCTCTTAATATACGAGAGTGTAAATAAACGTAAAATGATCTTGAATTTTATAGTAATTTCGCCAATAATTTGTTCACTTCACTTCTGTATTAGATAATACGATTCGATATAAGTTGTTTTAAAGTTTGGAAAAATGTCTTCAAAATTTGGCAAAATGAATAAATTTGTAAAATTGCGGGATGCATATTCGTGGTGTTAATTGTGTGTGCCCGTAGTCACCGTCATCATCGTCTTGCGAAATGTTCTAGTTAATCTTAAACTTGTTGGAGAAAGGGGCGGATAACATAATTTCAAGTAGCGTCAAACGTATAAATGAGAAAACAATTGTTTGCTTGTTCGAGGGGCGCCAGGTAATTCTAAACATGTAAACGTGACTTGGGTCACGCCGAGTAATATAATCAGTATTGTAAAACATATAACACACGATACCAAGGAATACAGACATTTTATTGAATAAAGTTATTCTAATTGTTTGAAACCTGTAATGAATATAACGATACAAAACGTCATTTATTTGTAACAATTGCATTTATAATATTTGCAATTGTTCATCATGTTTCAGCATACTATTTGCGCATTTCCTTTTGAGTGTTCAAAATCTCCTAATGCACCACATCGCTGACTACTGCCAGGCCTTTCTCCAGACCAGAATACACCACCGACTTGCAGTAATTCAAATCGTGGCAATTATTTTATCCACGAAAAAAGAGTATATATGTCTCCTACATGCATGGGCGTGCCAAACTAGTTTGCTGCTCGGGGAGAGTTTCTGAAAATGCTGCCCTTTATACCTAACTTCTAAAATAATTAGGGTGTTAAACAGATTATAGATGTCGTCATACACGAGAATAAATCAAATAAAGGTCAAGTAAGAAAGAAACGTTTGATTTTTAAACTAAGCGTCAAAAAAATGTTGCAATTGTTCGCTTTAAATTAAATAAGAACACATCTAGAAGAGCACGTGTAATAACTCAAACTCTACAGCTTGGTTCTGCTGCCCCCTACAAATGTGCTGCCCGGGGCTGTTGCCCCCTTCGCCCCCCTCTAGGCACGCTACTGCCTACATGAGAAGAACCAATGTATATTGATGCAAAGTCTTGTTATCCATTGCCTGTTTGCAATTGATTATTTGTTTGATAAACTTTGTCGTATGTTACTGCCGGGTACCTAGCTATAGTTATTCAAATCGAGGAAATCATTTCATCCCAGAATAAAAGAGTATAGATTTCTCTAAAATAAGAAGCATCGATGCATGTATCGCAAGGTCCCGCTCAGAACATTATCCTACATTGCTTGTTTTCGTTTGAGTTATTTTTCTGATAGACCTCATCATTTTTCTCAAATCGAAGGAATTAATTCATGTACAAAAAAGGGGTGAATACGTTTTAAAAGGATTAGAACTAGGCTGGCATTGCCTATTAATAATATTTTGCAAGGATAGAAATCGGTAAATGCATTCTCAAAAAGTATTGCACTTTACCATAAGGATCGGGGCTTATATGACATTGTCTGTTGGTAATTATAGACAAGGATGGCCATAGCTAAACTTCATTTATTAATAAAATGTGATAAAAGCTTTGCCAGATTGACATGAAGATAACAAGGATGTTTGTTTAATTATGAGACTGTTTGTTTTTATCGCGATATCAATATTTCTCAAGGATATGACTTACTACTGAACCGTACGAGATCTTTATAAAAACACACAATTTTTCATTTAATCATGTTTGACCGATTTAATGTTAAAACAGTAATTTTGTTGGGCACATTTCACGCGCTTAATGAAAGGGCGTGCTACTGATAAATAAATGACATCCACTACTGAAATATGTCGTATGTTCGTTGCTACATGCTACCTTAGCTGAATAGGAGTAGATTGAGAAGTGCGCTGTCCAGTAATTAGTTACAAGGTATGTGTGAGAAACTCGATAACATGCCAGCAAGTCGTATTCATAGTTGATGGGGTATCGCCTAGGGGTTGATCGTAGAAATGTAGAAAGATCTGTAGGCCTATAGGGTGCCAAATTTTAAAAACTTGTACTTTTTTGTACCGAACTCATTAAACAACTCGTTCCTTCATTTCAGAAATGTTTGTTTTTTACTGACCAAGGAAGGGTTCGCTGATTATCGCGACATTCCAAGATCAGATTCGCCTGGTTTTCACTATTGCCCAACCCACATATTAGCATTAGCAAGTCTATTTGGTCATGTACCATAGATATGAAACAGAAGTTTTAAACACAACTTAGCAACTAACAGTTGGGGTTACGTGAAACTAACTACCTTTCCTTGCTCTATGCCTTGCGCAGGTGGACTCGTATGCGTATAACGAAAGGATGCTGTAGCAAGAGTGAAAATGACTATTCTATTCAATTCAGGAGTCTTGCTGCACACTTACACAAATATATTTCTGTAACGTTTCGTTGTTGCACACTTAGACATATATATTTATGTATATTTGTGTATGTGTGCAGCAAGACTCTTGAATTAAATACAACTTAGCAATATTTTGTTTTCGTTAGGGCTTTAGGATTTTTACTTTAGTATGATATTTGACAGAATGGAAAATAGAAATGTAAGTTTTGTGTGTATATTCCATGAACTATTTCAGGCGTTAAAAAATGGAAGAAGTTCATTTTTTTTTATTCGAGATGGAATACTTATTTTGGATTCGATTAAAAAGTCTATTTTATTTTTACAACGCCTACAATAGCAGTATATTTGCAGCAATGGTAGTTGGGAAGGCAAATGGATGATTGTCAATTTCTATATAAACCTACGTCACACGCGCCAAATACAATAAACGATTGAATAATGTGATTATTTCATGTACTGAATGATATTGTACTTCAGTTAGAGACTTGTACGAATAAAAAAGTTTAAGCGTTAAAGGTTTCAATTTAAATAGGCAACAAAATATTTGAATGAATTGTTTTAGCTGTTTGGTTGACGAATAACTTCTCATTTATTTAACATTTATAGAAAATAATTTTTCCTCGATTTCGCGTAATATGAGAATAAGGATGGAATTTGGAATATCAAACTACTTGTGCAAATTACATCTACTTGCAAATGTTATTATTATTTAATTCACATCTCTTGTTTCTTTCAGCTGTTTCTGATTTGGACGTGGAACAAGGTATCCCATATCATCTTCAATACCGATCACCGAATTCAATTGAGGAAGACTTATTCACAATGGATTCCAGAATTCCTTGTGTGATACATTTACATCAGAAAGACGGGCAGGTAAGCCATTTCTGATATATACAAGCACACATATGTTAAAACTAAATTTAATCCCAATCTTAATAAATTCCTTGAGCTAGTTTGTATCTAAAACATCAAAATTTGGTTTTAGTTTGGTTGTGACAATTGTCAACCTAACCCCAGACTACAAGGTTATTGCAACATACAGATTTCAATAACAACAACTATTTATTACACGCATATTTGGTTGAAAGCAGAAATTGATGGCAGCATCTGGCCTCTGGCGTGCCAGATTGAATCAACCAACGGGCCGGATTTGGCCCGCGGACCGTAGTTTGCCCATGTCAGATAAAACCCATATTATCCATACGTAAGGTCGTGAAAGTAAGGTACAACACATGGGTGCAATAAAGTTATCTGACTAACCCCGGAAAATTTTCTTTTTTGTTTGTTTTCGAATATGTGCTACTCGAAATTCAATTCTAGCGTCACATTTCCCCTTTTACACGTTTTATTGGAATAATGCATAAAACAACGATATTGAAAAATCTTGCTAATATTATTAAGCATTTCAAAATAAAACGTTTTGATTTTTTTCACTTGCTGCCAAAGCTGAGAAAATGCGTCATTTATTATACTAGCGATGATATTTTTTCTTTCAATCCCAGTAAGAAGAAAGATACTACAAAACTAGTCAAAGTTCCGATCACTTTTTTTCTTAATCGGGATTATCCTTCTGCCTATTCGGTAATTCGTTTTTACCTCACCTGAAATATGACTTTATCATATTTTTAGGATTTGAACTACTTACTTCGCGGTGTTGATGCTTATTCAAAATCTGTTGCAAGACCAAAATCTCTCGACCCAAGATTATTGATGGACGAGATGGACTACGAAGATCCAGACGCGTACTCGTCTCGATCACCGAGAAACTCGAGTTTCTTTTCAACGGTAAGTTGAATTCATATCCGTAAGGTGGCGTAAGAAACTACTTTAAAATAGCTTCATAATGAACCAAACTAGACTCAGTGGTGCGTAATCTCTAGTCGTATAGTCGAAGGTTCATAACCGTTCACATCCGTAAAGTATGTAATATATAAATCATAGTCATTATACAAACCCCTGCCGTTGGGTTGTTGAGTATAACCCGAACTAAAACCAAAACGAAGAGCTTGGAGTACAAATAAAAATGATCCGATTTTAACAAAATATACGTGGTTGTCTGAATAAAAAAAGGTAGAAGTCGTTACAAATAAATTCGTTGATTGAATTCAGTACGGGAAGTTCATCCGAGAAATTTCGCTGATGATGGCGGAGCAGTAAGAATATAACGACTGCCAATGTCCCATTCTATCATAGTTAAATGAACCATAGAAAAAAAATCGACTCTGACAGTGTATTTGCTGGTATAGCAATGCACTTACACGAAATTAAAATTAACGTGATTACAGCACTTGAATCTTTAGACTGGAAGCATTTTATCTCCATGAGAGACGCTCAAAAAGCAGCAAAGTTGAGAATTTAGAAAAAAGTAAATCTTATTTTATGGCAAAATCATAACAACGAAATTGTAAACATGTAATATATGGTTTGTAAAAGTTTAATTTACATAGGAAAAGTCTCGTGAGAAATCAAAACTATCTATTCACTGACGACGCGCCTTTTAACCATATAATTTATAACTACTACCTTCTATTCTTTGACCAGTGTTTTTTATTCGTTTATTTATAAGTTTCTTTTGTATGAGAAGAGCAATATTAAGCCTACATAGTTATGCAATGAAAAAGTTAATAATATTGCCTGATCCTAAATAACATGAATGCTTTTATACTTACTCAAAGCATGGTATTGAGACCCCAGCTGCAAGTGGAAAATTTATTGAAAGAATAGTTGAAAGCGGTCAATGACAAGTTAAGAACTTAATTATATTAGATCTTGGCGATTGAACTTTTAAGAATATATACCGGTAGGTAGACACAAGACAAATAAACTTTAATTCAAATTGTACTGTAGGTGGAAGGGAATTCTGCAAAAGTGAAAAGAGTCTGAAAATACGCAGTTTTTCATGCAAATTACTATTACTTATTTTACGAAGTCAAATTTTCATGGCTATAAATGTGATAACGAGTGTTTTCAGTTTTGAATAACACGCCAAAAGACGTTATCTGAAACCCAACGCCTATTTGCGAATATGTCTGGCCAAATAACGTCAAATTTTCATTAGGAGAAACTCATAATTGAGTTGGAAATGTAGAAAAAATGGAAATGTAAAAATGGAAATGTAGAAAAAATATTTGCATTCAATTTTTGGAGAAAGAAACACAACATCAAAGTCCATTTGGAGAAACTAATAATTGAGTTTAATGCCGAAATGAACTTTTATTTTGGATTTTTTGGGAAAGACCGTATTTCTTATGATCGCATGTAAATGAATTCTGGATATAACAGTTTGAAGGTTTTACAAGGCGCGTATGCGCATTTCATTTCAATACATAATTCATGATTTGAACCATAAACCATAGGCGAATAGTCTTCAAATACACATACATAGTTCATGGGATAACCCGAAGGTGCGAAATTTCACTCATTTTAGTAGAATTGTATCAGGTATTGATTACGAATTGGCAGGTTTGTCCGTGAAATGAAGAAAAACTCAACAAGTTGTTCCTGAATTTAGCGATTATGGAAAGTTGCGAAAGAGATGGATGATACCTATACTGGTCATCCCGAAGTATGTGTACCAGGTTAGGGTTAGACCAAATAAACTGTGATAATGACATAAAAATTATAATCTATATATCTATATCTATAACGCTAAATAGTAAAAACATAAAGTGTTAAACTATCTCACTTAAGTTCGGCGGGCCATATTAAATCGTTACGCGGTTCATAAATGGCCCGCGGTTTGGAAACCACTGTCCTAAATTAATATGGGATAAACAGATCAGAAAATTATTGTTGCAAAACACTGCATCGTTTAACATGCAAATTTGGGCATAACTAAATTAAAAATATTAAGGTGCCCGATCAGCATATATGATTGATAGTCATAAATAGCTAACAGGAATTCTAACTTGTAATAATTCACACAAAAACCCAGAAAGCGGATTAAAAAGCATAAATCTTTTGGAGTTTGCCCAAAGAAGTTATAAATAGGTCATTGTATACACAACCAGCCTGACCGCGGGATTTTAACGGAGTTTTGTTTTGATTTCATATGAAAATCGCAGAGTATTTTGTTGAAGCTAAGTCGAATGAGAACTGAGAAAGTGTTATAGGTTCGTATTTAAGTTTATATATACGCGGGAATGCTCTGTACTGTCGTATTAACAATACCCAAGGTAGGCGTAACTGATCCAAGAAGATAGGTTTTGAGCAGAACTTACTTCTAATGAGTTAAAATGTTAAAATACCGACTTAGCTAATTCTGTAACTGACCAAATAAGCAACAGCGGTATTAATAAAATTTGACAAGCAGCAAATACATTCATGTCATTGGATAAATTAATTTTAATTTACTCAGGTATTTAATCGGTATGTAACTATTTTTTCTTGTGAAAAATATCAACCGCTTCACCGGATCCATAACACTGAACATTTGAGAACCACTGAGTTAAATGATATGCTTTATAATCAGCTTACTTTTTTGTATATCTAACTAGCATTTAATTTAGGACTTTTAAAATCTAAAAATTGGCAGCCATGGTTTTTATTAATTCCTCAATTCTACATTTCCAACATACACGCTTTACATTATAGTAGTGAGCTAGTGAGTAGTGACCTAGACTTACCGCGAGTTTAATATGGACCAAACTTGGATGCAATGGTTATGTGCTACTTTGTTGTTGTTTACTTGTTTACAAGAAATTTTTGGTTAATTGAAGACTTGGTCTGGAGGAGAGTAAGAAAAAAGTCTGTTTACGTGCGGAAATTAAAACTAATTGGTGCTCTGTTTTTTTTTTTTAAATTTAGAATTGAGTTGTTGGCTTATTTGACAGATGTTGTTGTGCGGCGTTCTGACATAAAATATTTTCTTGATTATCTGAGAATTGGGAAATTGTTGGTTACCTTTATAACTTTTTTTTTGTAATATTGCATTGATTGGGATAGAGTTGAGCCATAATTTTATTCCGAGTTTACTTATTTTAGTTATATTACGAGTTCGGAGACTGTCTGTTTTAACCAAATGAACTTATAGCCTGTTCATAGGTTTCAGTCTCTTTACACAACAAATAGTCGAACAAAATTATTCATCTCCATATTGGTACACACACTTCTGGAGCGCCCAATGATATATAATTACGTTTTCATCTTCTAATGGCGAAAAGGCTAGCTGCCCTCTGCGTTGGATTAAATGTACTAAATCTCTATAATGTCCAGCATTGAATGACGTTAAGTAATTGGTAGGAGGAACGCCATGGTACAATTTCACGTTAGACTGCGCTTGTTAAAAACGTTTCCATAACAAAACGCGTTGCTTGGTGGTTTATCTGGTAATTTAAAAGATCATAATTTAATTTAATAGTTCTGAATAGCGTAGCAAAAAAGAACTTGTACGTTACGAAAAGGGAAGAGAGATTTATTTTATTATCGGGCTTAGAAAGTGGACAGACTTGTGATTAATGGGCATGTTAGACAGATCTTCGTCAGCCATTGTTTTTTTGCTGATTGAAGAGGTGAATATACATAATTTTAAGCACAGCGCTATGTTAACCACAGTTCAGAGTCGTTAAGGTACTTGCCAGGTTTATTACTCAATTCTGTGTGTGTTTATTGAACACGGTCAGATTGAGTCAAACATAGGTCCAACAACATGTTTGAGATTACGCGTATCAAACAATAATCTGGTTATTCCAATACCATATGTGAATTGCATAGGCTACTTCGTGTAGTTCTTCCATATCATATAAATATAAAAATCGCATCTAATTTTAAATTATTTTGTGTTATATTAGTGCGCCTAATTATCCTACAGATGACTTCAACTTTTGTCGGATCTCGCGAAAAAATGACCACCCGTTTTAATTGCATAATCCGATTAGTGGCCAACGTCGAAGTAAAAGAGTAAATAAGGAACGGTATGTTGAGTTAAAATAGGTGACTTGAGCTTTTACCAAAAATGTCATGAACCCGGATACGGAACTATACTAATACATTTCAATTCTTGTATTTGATTTACCATATTAAATGAAGACGGATCACGAACCCTTACAATAAACATTGATATGGCTGTTGGGAATATAGCATATTTATGGGATTAATTTTTTTTAACCGAAACGCTAGGATATTAGGTCGCGTTTGGGCTCGAAAATCACCATTAGTCATTGGACGCCGCCGCTTTTATTTAATTAATTTTGGGTTATTTCACATTTTAAACCTGCGTCTACTTAGGAATTTCAATTATTTCGAATGCAATTATTTTGAATTAATCTACTCCGTGCTCTCGGCGAACTAAACTTATGACAAGTTTGCGACTACGCATATATTAGATTTAAGATCTCTAAATTCTTACACAATATTTTTCGGCAATGCTATGTTTGAAGAGTCGATATATCGCTTCCGAGTTTATTAAGTGTAACAAATTTTGTTGTTTATTTAAATGGTTTTCACCATTTTTGAAATTGAAAATGTAATTAAAACGTTGAACATAAAATCTGTTAATTGTGGTGTATTTTTAAATCAAACTTGCAGTTCTTAAGATCGTGGTAACGAGTAATTGACAATACTTGTACGTCGCGACTACTCGCAATTAAATTCATGTCTGAAGACGTAATAACACGTTTGCAAGATTGATGAATTTGTCATCAGAAAGGAATGAATAAACAAACAGCAGAATCGCTGATCCGAAATAAGTGAATGCTCGGTGATTTTGGTGGTGGATTAGGCTTGTTTATCACGGTATTACTTGGTGAGGTATACCTTAATACTTTATAGTATACCTATAAGATTTA